AGTTGAAAATTGTATATGATACAAAATTGTGCAGCATTTTTTTTTAAATAAAAAAAGCTTTTTTTTTATTATCAATATCCAAAATACTTTAGAGATATAATTGTATTTTCACGTTTCAGAATTAGAATAAATTTTTTAATTTGATATCGACTTCTCATCGACAGATGACTCCAGTAGATGGTAGTGGTAGCTATAGAAGTGAAGGGATACACTTCCAGTGTTTTCGATTGGAAGGTCACGAGATAAAGAGAGAGAAAAAAAGATTGAGGTCATGAGAAGAAAAGAGACAGCAGAATAAAAAGAATAAAGAAAAATATGGCAGTTGGAAAAGATAAAGTAAGGACCCTAGACAAAATATTTTTTTTTTTTTAAATTTAAATATAATAAATAATTGTGTTTTCTTTTTTAGTTTGATCCAAAAACGACTGATAAGAAAAGAAGCGAGGCGGTGAAAGATGCCGCCTCGCCGATAGCGGCGAAGCTCGTCGATATCGATACCCGGCTTGCTTCGGTCGAGACTTCGATCGGCGAGCTCGACACCCGGCTTGTTTCGGTCGAGACTTCGATCGGCGAGCTCGACACCCGGCTTGTTTCGGTCGAGACTTCGATCGGCGGGCGGATAAATTCGGTGGAATCCGAGCTCAGTGCCATAAAGGCTACCATTAACAACTTCATTGAGAAGTTGAGCTCGGTATTCGATCTAGATACCAAGTAAGTTCACCGCTTCTTTTAAGCGGATCCGACATCAAATGTCGGAGTCCATATCGTATATCGGTGAACTTAGTCAGAAGGGCAAAAATAAAAGCATTGATCATGTTCTGGCAAACCCTATTTCATGGTTTGCTTCGATAACGATCAATGCGACAAATATAAAGGATAATTTCAACAATTTTCAATGAAATTTTTTTTTCTTTATTGTAGATTTTCATATAATTTGCTCATCTCATTAAGTTTTCTTTTATTTCTTTTGTTACTTGTAAACAAATTATTTTTTTTAGATCGTGCGTCAATGTATCTCAATTCATGTTGGTCAAGCTGGTGTTCAAATAGGTAATGTATGTTGTAAATTATTTTTTTTAGACTATGGAATTCAACTTGATGGACAAATGCCGTTAAATGAAACTATTGGTAGAGGTGATGATTCATTCAACATCTTCTTCATTGAAACACATGCTGGTAAATATATACCACAAGTTGTTTTTGTCAATTTGAAACCAACTGTCATCGTCATGGAAAGAAAATTAAACAAATATGATTATTTCAAACTAATTATTAAATGTTTTAGATCAAGCACATACTGGTACCTATCGTCAATTATTTCATCCTAAACAATTAATTACTAGAAAAGAAGATGCTGGTAAGTTAATTTAAAAAAAAAACAATTCATTATTTACTAAATATTTATTTCTATATAGCTAATAAGTATGGTCGTGAGCATTATACCATTGACAAGGAAATTATTGATTTGATACTTGATTGTATTCGTAGATTGGCTGATCAATATACTGGTCTCCAACGTTTTCGTATCCTTTATAGTTTCGGAGGTAAACTATTTGATTGAAAACAAAAA